GGAGTAAGAATACAAATGTAAGACATAATGTAATAAATTCATGCACTGAATGTGAAGGCAATATAAACAATATTGTGTGAGCATTATATAGTCCTATATTTTATTGTGCAATATATAATACAAAAGTGTATGATAAAAACACTGTATATTAACAGCAATCAAAATTTTAAAAAGATTCATACAAATATAGAGAATATTTTATCATACTTCTCATCTCTACTCAATGTTATCTAACAACAAATGATAAAATATATTAGACTTTAGTATATCATTATAATTCTGAGCTATATTCCTTTAATGTACAGTATAGAAAATACAAAACTTAATTATAAGTTATATTCTGTTCACTAGTAATAAAGAAACTCAAATGTTATACAACATTAAGAAAACTTTCAATAAATATATAATTATTTTAGATGTTTTAATTCAACTTTTATCTTTAATATTATTTAATTTAATTTATAAAATACAAATTCTTAATTTATTTTTAAAATTATTTTATACAGTACAAATTATTAATAATTTTAATACAAGACTTATAGATTTGAATTTATACTGAGCAATATTATCTAAAAATATTTTAGTGGCCGGAATGGTAGCCCGCAATGTGGCCGGTCCTGCGGTTGTATTTTCCTTTACAATTGCTGCCATCGCTAGTCTTTTCTCAGGTTTTTATATTGACTTAAAGGCAACAATTTTCTAATACAAATTTTAATTCCTTCTCAAATAATCAATATTTTAGGCGTTTGTTATGCAGAATTTGGAGTAAGGGTTCCGAACACGACTGGTAAGCAAATTGACTAAATTTCAATTATATTTTTGCAAATATTTATTTTGTTAATTTTTATACCAAAACTAATTGAAAATATTGTAATTTTGTTTTCAAATTAAAGGGTCGGCTTATATGTATAGTTATGTTACGGTTGGAGAATTCATAGCGTTTGTTATCGGTTGGAATATGTGAGTCTAGGGAACTACCTAACCATTAATGGACTTAAATTTAAACAGCCATTTGTTTGCAACAGGGTATTAGAGTATTTAATAGGAACGGCTGCCGGTTCTGCAGCCATATCTGCCTGCATTGACTCACTCTATGGCGGGGCTATACATCACGCTATGAAACAAACGTTCGGCACATTTGTA